AAAGCACGTGTGTGACGCCGTCGAGGATGGGCTTCATGTCGAACGGCTTGAAATTCCGCGAATACGGCATCGAGTCATAGATGGCCCACTGGACCGAACACACACAAGGTGCGCTGCGCCCAAGTCGTGTCTCTCCCTTTCCGTGTCTCTGCGTACATTGCCGAAGTAAGCCATCACCCGCTCGATCGACGTCTTGGCACCACCTGCCACACAGACATACACACACACACACATCCTCCCTGTCCCTCGCTCTGAGTGGCTGCGAGTGTCCCCCCGCACCAGACGGCTTTTCGCCTTCGAGCGGCGGCTTCGGTGTCGGGGCCGGCCCGCCTGTGGTGGGCACGGGAGGCCCCGCAGTTGTTCCTGGCTGCTGGGTCGTGGCTACTGGGGGTCTCGCAGAAACAGCCGGCTGACGTGTGGTCTTTTCTGCAGGTGTAGGCTCAGCCGTCGTCGGTTTCTGCGGCGGGGCTGTTGGCTCCTCGGTGGTCGGCTCTGCAGGCTCCCATGTTGGCACGACAGTTGCCTCGGTCCCCTCTCCACACCAGTGGTACGGCGACCCCAGCATGTCACAGTACCATTGGCTCCAGCCGTGGTAGCAGGCCCTCCTCTCTCCGTTCGTCCCATAGGCGTAGTTGCAGTTGTCGCACCTCTGGTTGGTGCATGCCCCTTCGGTGCAGTAGCAGGGGTCTTTCAGCTTCTCGTCCTTGTCGTCCTCGTGCTTCTTGCCCGCGCACCATGAGTACCCCTTGCCCTGACACTGCTGCTCACTCCAACCGCTGAAGCACACGTATCGGCCATCTGCGGTGCACAGAAAGACGACAGTTGGACCAGCATGCAGCTCAGCTGCAATCGCTCTTTTACCGTGCTCGAAGCGACAGTTGTTGCAGACGTTGTTTGCGCAGGCGCCCTCATTGCAGTAGCAGGCATCAACCTCACTGGATGAAATATCGTGGCTCAGGCAATAAAATGGCAACAGGATGAGCACGAGGGCCAGCATGTTGACGGCAGGAGAATCTCAGGCAACTTTTGGGAGAATCGTAGGGCAGGACGCAAAATTGGGCAGGACGTCACGGTGGCACCGGCCCCCTTGCCGCCCCCACCGCAGTAACTTGAAGGGATGAAATAAAAGTCCACTACGACAACCATGTACCGCTTCTTCCTGGTCTGGTGTCTGGTCTTTCTCTCGACAAGCCCCATCCTTCTGCTGCTCTTCCAGCAGCGGGTGGCCTACCAAAGACGCCTCCTCAGATCGCACTACCCAGAAAGCGACACCCACGACTCCGACACGTGTGATGTGGACGCGACGCTGGAGTCCTTCCGGCAGTTCTACCTTCGGCCGCTCGTCTCCCTAGACCCGGACGACCCCCAGACCTACCATTGCGTGGCGGACACCGAAGGGGACGATTCGCTTCCTCCCGCAGAACAGTTCGCTCTGGACTCGTGTGGCGGGTGCGACAGGCAGCCGAGCCTGGCGCTGATGTTCCTTACGCGAGAAGGGCTGGAGGAGCTCGAACCTCTCTGGCTGGAATGGCTCTCTATGACGTCTTGTCCGCAGTGCTTCAGGGGCTACATTCACCGCAGCTGGTCGGACGTGCAGACCAGCCGGCCGTCGCATCCCTTCTTTGAGGAGGTCCCGAGGATCAGGGGTATCCGGCGGGGCCGTCTGCTGCCCGCCGAGAATGCGCTGGTCAAGGCAGCTTTGCGTCAGCCGTGCAACCAGATGATGATCTTCCTGTCCCCGTCGCACATCCCCCTGACCCACCCCGATGTCGTGTACGACATTCTATTCGACGACGCGCTCGAGGAAGACGGCACTCTGCCCAGCAGCCGATTCTGGTCAGTCAGTCACAGTGGGACGTGTGACGTGTGTCTTGATGTGTGTGCCGATGTGTGGGTGTGGGTGTCTTGTTGTGGGTGGGGGATCGATCAGCTATGCAGGCAAAGGGGAAGAGAGAGAGGACGACCGCATTGAGAGCAGAGATTATGAGGGGGCAGACAACAGCACCTTATCCTGCGGACAGGAAGACGACAACACCATTGGACACGGTCATGTCACCACACACAGCTCTGAGGGAGGGAGAATGGCCATTGGCACCAGTCATCACTCCCTCCCTCCCTCCCTCTCTCTGTGGCGGTGGGTGCGGTGTGTGCAGACGTGAAGCACCACCAGTGGCGTGCCTACAACCGCTACCACGCCATGATCGTTGCCGCCCAGGGCCTCGTGTACCCCTACGCCCGCAACCTGAGCATCTACCACTACCTGCCCGAGAAGGCCGCCAGCGACGAGTGGTACCCACACCACGTCCTCAGACGGGCACTCGGCAATGAAGCCATCTGGGAACAGGTATTATGGACACACACACGTGCGCTGGGCAGGTGAGCTGTCATTTCCCTCTCTGTGTGTTCAGGTCAATGGCGGTCTGACTGATTGGACGGGGCAGACCGACCCGCACCTCAAGGCCATGTACTGCGACACGCTCACATGCTGGAACCAGACGGACGGCTGTGGTCTGGGTGAGGGCGGCAAGTGCAGCCGCACCGGCCCTGTGTGCTTCGACACGCTCAACCACACCCGGCTGGCCGAGCTGATTGCGGCCCCCCCGCCCCTGTTTCTGCGCAAGGTCACGGCCAACACGGGGGTGGTGGACGACAAGACGGGCCATCTGATGGGGCGGGTGGCCGACATGGTCGTCGATATGATCAGAAGCCAACACGACAAGGCTGTTGGGCTAGAGAGTAGAGAGCAGATGGAGGGTGGGGCACCAGTGGAAGAGTAGCTAGCGTGTGTGTGGATCAGATCGGGCGGTCTATCGGTTAGTTATGTGTGTGTGTACTTGTCAGCCATTTGTGGCGCTGTGTACCTTCTGCTCTGCGTACTTGTACTTCTTTGGGTCTGTAGCTTTCTGTGTCACTCACTTTTTCTGTTCCTCTCTCTCTCTGTGTCTGTGCGTGTTCATTCCTATTTGGTTATATATCTCCGCGAGATAGGTATGTGCGTGTGTCTGTCTGCCTATTTCTTTGCACATCTTGCACATCCATCTGTGTGTGTCCTCGACTGCATGACGACAATTAACTCAAGCCCGCCCTGTTTCTTCGTGGGGTGTGCACCCTCAGTCTCTCCACGTGTTATGTAATGTCATCAAGACGGCCGCCCCTCTGGCTGTACACCACACTCACACACCCACCTCTGCCGGCATTCGACAGACAGACAGACAAACATCACTCTCTCACGAGAAGAACTAGCTGCCACCTTCTCTGACAGGATCTACACCCACACTCTCGGCAGACTGGGCACTGCCCATCTTCTCTGCCCGCCTCCTCAGGAAAGCGTCGACATGTGTGGCGACAGCGTCGACGGCCTGGTCGATCGTCATGTCAGATGTGTCCACTACCACCGCATCACTGACACACACATTGCAGGAAAGATGAATGGGCAGCTGGATGGGGGGATGCATGTGTTGGGAGAGAGGAGAGAGAGTGTGTGGCTTACTGTGCGGCCACGAGGGGTGCCTCCGCCCTCTCTCTGTCCCTTTTGTCGCGCTGTTTCATGTCCTCCAGCACCTCCTCAAACGGCATGCCCATCTCTTTGCCCACAAACTCCTGAAACACACACACACACACACACACGTGTGCAGACGGCACGAGAAGGGGCAATGTGTGTGTGGTGTGATGTTGTTGCTCATTCACCTGGTGGCGCCTCTTGGCTCGCACGTCCACTCTCGCATCGACGAAAAATTTGAGGGGCGCCTCTGGGCACACCACTGTGCCGATGTCCCTGACACACAGGCACACAGAGAGAGAGACACACAGACAGCTGGATGGATGGACCGGGCCGGCACAGAGAAGCACACCGCGCCACGAGACGAGACGAGACGACACGCCACGCAGTCAGTTGAGTGTGCCATTGTAGGGGATGAGAGCCCCTCATGAGCTCGGTGAGCGAGGAGCCTCAGAATTAACAACGGCAAGCATCGATCTCTCTTTTTCGCAGGCAGGCACAACGATGCAACACACGCTGGTCAGCAGTGCTGCCCGCTGTTTGTGGCCTGCTCTCGGTGCCTCTGCCTGTCTGTATGGCTATCGTGCTCATCCTCATCCGTCAGACACCCCCCCCCCCCCCCCCC